GACAGAGCGCCCACATAAGCATAATCTACGACGTGTGTTATGCGGAGTATCCACAAGAACATAGCAATTTGCTTCGAACAATCACGCACTACGACATCCTGGCAGAACTTGTAGGAGATGCCAACTGGGTGTTTTAGGACGACTGTTCCATTGCCAGCGCTAGTAAGTTTAGTGATCTAATTAAATCGGCATCATTCAACAATTACCTTCGTTCTGCAAGAGCCCAATAATTCATTCGGAGCAAAATCCGAAAACACATGACAGTTAGAGACGCAGCTTGGCATGTGTATAGAGCGAACCCTAGCCCTGAAAACTGAAGTAACCATGTTGTGCATCATAATCACTGTACTACACTTGGCGTTGATGACAAATAAGTACACCAGCAGAGTCTAGAGGAAAAGTTTTGTGTTAACAAAACTCTTCTGTACAGACATGTGAACAGCCTCCGAAAGGTGAAGCTTGGTGTTTCCCCACTAATATCAAGAGATGGATGTGCTCAAACCGCCGAGGATGCAGCCAACGTTCTACGGCTCCAATATGCTCCAATGTTCTGACGTGCTCCTAGCATTTGTAAGATATCTGTCCCATTCTCCCAGATGTCAATATTTGCACACGTCACGTTTAGTTCAGCGATCATTATGAGGAAGCTGCTATCGTTGCGCACCCATAGTACTCCGGATTTGACACAATTCCTCCGAAAGCACTGCAGGTGGCACCTACGAGGATAGCTGAGCCATTAATGAGATTTTTCAGTGATGCCTGATGCACAGCAGTTCCCTAACAATTGGAATCAGGGCATCATTACCCCGATTTTCAAGTGTGGGAGCGGTTCAGAGCCCGCCAACTATCACCCAGTGATTCTGCTCCCGGGGCTCTCAAAGGTGCTGGAATTGATCTTAACTAAGGCTGTAATGGCTTACTTTGAAAGACATAACATCATAGCACCGGTGCAACACGAATCCGTCAGCATCAGCCATGTACTACCAACTTACTGTCTGTCCATGGCAGTTGGACCGAGATAACCGACAGTGGGACCAGCATTGATGTCATCTACCTAGACTTTCCTAAAGCCTTCGACCGCACAGATCACCTCATCCTTCTCCAAAAGCTGCAACCCTACGGAGTTGGAAACCCTGTCATAGGATGGATCGGAAACTTCCTCTTTCAGCGGTGCCTTCAGATTCAAGTTCGAGGCTCGTTTTCTGATCCAATTAATGTGAACTGCGGTGTTCCACAAGGGTCATTGTTAGAGCCGCGTTTTTCTTGTTTTTTATTAACGACCTTGCGAGTGTCATTAAGTCAAATTTCCTGCTTTTTGCCGATGACATCAAGATATGGCGGGCAATTGCCTGTCAGGATGATCACAATATGTCGCAACGAGACGTTGCCTGCGCTTTAGAATGATCAAAGTTAATACTACTTCCCTTTAACACCGACAAGTGCAAAACCGTGCATGTCCGCCGCAAACCCACGTACGCATATAACCTTGGAGAGGACAAGCTAAAAACCGCCTCACAAGAGCGAGACCTTGGGTTGGTGATCTAAGACCTCGGCTGTTCGACGCAGTCCTTGAATGCGTCCAAAACTGCGAACCAACATGTTGGTCTGTTACGGAGAGCGTTCGAGCGGTCCGATCCCTGCATCTTCCCCTAAATGCTAAATGCATATGTCAGGCCCCACGTAGAGTACGTGATCCAGGCTTGGCAACTCTGGTTAAGACGCGTTGGGGCTGCTCTGAAGACCGTCCAGCGAAGAGAACCCAAAAATGTGAAGGGTTTGTCCCACCTTTAATGCCGTATGCGACTAAAAGCCCTGAAAGTTTACAGTTGAAGATTTCATCGTCTACGAGGTGACCTCATCCTGGCGTTTCAGATCTTGAAAAACCCCGGTCACACTTGTCGCCACCACCTGAATCTTAGCCGCACCATAAAATTAAGCGGTCATAGGCTGAAACTTGCCCCTAATACAGTCGACTTGAGTGTCGCCGGAATTATTTTTCCCTACGAGTTTGTCAACCGTGGAACGCTCTTCTGACTTTTGTCATTTCTGCACCCACTTTTAAAAAAACACTCGACGATGCCTTACACCACCTATATTACTTGATCTGATTTCTATTCACTGAGTGACGACCAGACGCAGGCAAACATTGTGCTCACCAACCCCACGAATTTGTGGTAGACGGATATACCTTTGTGTTAACTTGGATCATATGGTGCGTCCACGGATGCGTTTTTCAATTTAGTGCAACTTTTTTTAACTAACGTTATTCCCATAAACTAGCCCACGGGACTCGTCGAACCCTGGCGTTTTAATCCGTATTATACCATTGTTCTTTTGCTAGAAACCAGATAGAATATGCAGCGCTTGCTTTATCGTCTTCTGAATTATCTCGATAGATAAGTTCAAGCCAAAGAACAAGCGAGACCATCGAAAACGTCCAGAAAATTTTTCAAATGGTGTTAAATATAGCCATTCTTCGTCACGCTTTACATGTCCGAAAGATGAGCCTCGTTTGACTTTCGCGTGTATTTTGGTCTTGGACAACTACGGCAGCACGTCGCCCAGTGTCGCTAGTATGTAAGCAGTGCCATGCAGTTTTGCCTCGATTCAAGCTCATAGGTCAGCTGGTTTCTCAGTGACGGTCACCGTTTGGCTCTACTAATTTGTCGGCTTATTAATCTTGGCTATAGCGGTCAAGCGGAACAAACGCTGCGGAACTTCTCACCCAGGGCAACATGTAGTTTCCCAAATGGTAAACCCAATAACTTGGAGAGTTCGTTCACCAATAGGTGAATGCATTTTTCGAATTTCCCCACAACCCCGCCAGATTTACAGGGATAAAAGTCGGTCATGTCTGCGCTATCCTCAATCCGCCCACCAAATATGACGAGTCACAATCCGTAGGCAGAGGTTGAAACAAAACCTGGCTGACTTACAACGGTTTACAATTCTTACACATAGATTCAACCGGGATATGTAAAACCCGTCAAGTCGCATTCCTTTGCAGCATGTCTCATCGCCGGCCCAACGCAAATCACACAGACCTCAATCGTATTTATAGTAGTCATAAGCATAATAATCAAAGTCACCGGAATAAAACCACCAAGTAACTTTTCACCTAGTGTTTCAGTAAACTTATCAGATAAAAGATAAGATCTTGAGAAAGAATGCAGTAAATCTCCAAAGTTGACCACCCTTTTATTCTGACAGCCTCTCTAAGCTGGCCGTTACCTCATTGCCTGAACATTTAAAAATGTAAACCATATGGAACCATACCATCTTGACCACTTGGATGACAACAGTGACTATAAATTTAACCCTTGTAAGTCGACCATGTGAAGGTTTACCGTACAATTGTCATCGGACGAACCGTTCATTCCAACAGCAATTGTAGTGTAAACGACGCGGGGAAGGCAGAGCGTGTATTGTCACAAGAACGTGCAACTGACAACTCACAAACCCATGCAGATTTAGACCGTGTTTCCTTCCCACGACGCAATGCAGATGAGGATTTGTATAATGGCCCATTCCAAGTGCCTCCGAAGTTGGGCTTCGAAACAAGCCCTCCATATTTCCATCCCGTATCTCCGCTACGCTATGTCCGATTCCGGGCAGCCAGGAGCTGTTCGAAAGCTCGCGATTTGTTCTCCCGTGGCTGCATCGGTAAGCCAGCGTTCACTCCTGTGGGCTTCGCTAACGGCGTATTTGTCTGGTTCATTGCGTTCTCGACAACTACCTCCTCCGTTGCTTTGGGCCGAGGATCGTTACCAGATGCAGCTCGTGATCCCTTGTCGGCTCGATCCGCAACGCTCGCAAAACCTTGTCTCCGCTCATCCGTTGCGCCCTTTGGTACTTCCTTTAGTACCCCGCTTTAGTTGTCATTTCGGTTCACGCGTTTTTACTGCTTTTCTCCGCCCTGCACAGCGTTTTCTTTGCGGGATTTTTCAACGTGTGCAATGTGCTTTCCCCCCAATCACTGCGCTTTACCGCTACGCATAATTTATAGCATGTTTTCTCTCGGTGTATTTGAGGGCGCATTATTTCCGCCCTTCACTTTTTAAGCACATGGCTGTTTACGCCGTATAGCTTGTCCCCGAGATATATACAAATTGTTCGTACCACACTACTGAGCCCGATTAATGCGGTTGGATATCATCAAACGCATACCATTGATCTGCTTGCGGTAAAAACTTCAACTGCTCCACCTGCGAATGCTTTGGATGATGTGCTTTGGACAAACTATGCTTAATACGAAGTTCAACTGGAAATAATACAAAAGGGATTCCGCAAACCAGGAATGTTTTGAAGTTTCCAACAGATTGCTGCCGTTTCACTCAAGTTTCCGACTCCCACGGCAAAGTTCGAGGGAAAAGATTTCCAATAGTTCGTTGAGATGGATGTAAAGTTTGCCCCCCCCCCCCATCTTAAGCAGCCGCAGGTGCTGTTTTCCAAGCTATACTGACTACGGCCTCTTAGGAAGCAAAGAACCAATAGCAAATACTATGAACATCACAGAAGATTCAAAAGATGAAGCAAGGTTTTGTTAATGCAGCTGTAGTCATTTGCTGTGGTATAATGTTCGAGCGTGCTGATTAGTATAACCTATAATGAGAGCGCTTTTTCAGTAATGACCTAACTCTGAGGTGAAAACACCACCTTTCGATTTGTTATAATACTGTATGATTTAGTTGCATTGCCACTATGTAAGTGCTAACCTAATATCTTCGAAACATGATATACGTAAACACAAATTGTTTACCGTACTACTCACAACAATAAAGTAAGCTAGATGGTTTTTGTTTGTGGACTCCATATGTTGACCACCTCTCTTGGTTGCCTACGTTGGTCCGGTCCCTTGAGTGGTCAACTTACGGAACTTTTAGTGTGAACTGTGTTTGTTCCGTGAGTAATCCTTGCTTCCACTTGTTCTTGACTCAGCGCTCGGTAATCCTATCAGCATTGATTGACATTTAATAAACTGGTTGTATTACTCCCCATAGGCAGACAAAATGAATATCGTGGAGTTGGATCAACAGCTAGAAAAACAGTTAAGAAAGGAAAGTGAAGAAGTTCAAGTAAGTCCGTCTTCTCAGGTATGGCACTCTAGCTGTGGTGTCAACCACCTAAACCATTATTAAAACTCCTATCTCCGTTTTAGTATAAATCTGCGAAGAGCGACATTGCGCAGCTATGAGCACAAAGGAGAAAGTAATGAAACCATTTGAGTCGGGCTTGTTTGTCTCCAGTCCTCATATTCATGTAAATAGAAACCTGACTAAATCAACTGCTTCCCGTAATCGCAGGCAGCCACTGAGACACTTATTTCGGAAAGCCATAAAATCAATGATCATCTTGTAGGCTGGTGGGATGTTCCATACGGGACCATAATGCCTACACTATCCTACTAGCACAAGTCTTTGTTGTCTAACAAGTTGTTTTAACCCAAATGCTACAGCAGCTCCGTTATTCGGCTCCAAACACGAGTTCGTACCTTAGATCCCGTGACTCGGCGCATCCTGCTGTTCGTATAAAGGAGCTGTTCACGGCGAGACTGTAGTCTAGTGTGTTATGCTAGACTATGTGCGTCCGTACTTTAGTGCGGCATGTTGATTGGAGTTTTCCAAGTGTCTTCAGAGTCCAACTAACCTGGATCTCAACGTCCCACCTGTTGGGTGGGCGTCAACGGCACTTACTGCTAAGAACCTAACCATGGTGGACTCAAGTGTACCGGTTGCCACTTTAATGCCATCGAATTGTGCACAATAGATCGTCTCTGAGGGCAGGACGGCGCGTATGATGGTGTTTTTTAGACACGTAACTTAGTATCAGTAAGGTGCAAAACTTCTTTTAAGGTCTCAGGTACGATGGTACAGTGACGCGTGCCGTAAACACCCCTCGTCGTAGCGATGCCTTTACGAATAGCAGCGTTGACTTTAGGAATATCGCTGAGTATTCTGCGGTTCTTCCGAAGGATCGCATGCTTGATGACCTACATTGGTACAAAATTTGTTTCCAAACTGCTTCCATGAGGATTCTCTGGGGTAACGGTTAAGAAACTTACTGGACTTGGGAACACATCAGACGGCAGTACAACTAATAGACCCAGTCTACTGCAGGTGGTCCTGTATACACCAGAGGAGCGCCGCGCTCTTTGCGTTTTTCCTTTAAACTAAAGGGTTCCAGATTGAGCGTACAGCCATACCTACCGTTAACAGGTGGGATAGAACTTTAGGAAGCCATCAAAGACCCTGAAGCCCTTCGAGAAGAGGGTAAAATGTCTGTTTGATGGGTTTTGGGTAGTGGGCTGGTGGTCCACTTCCACCCTACCGGAATCCATTCTGGTAGCATACAACCTGGGGCTCTCCATACCAGACGTCTTCACTTAGTTTTCAATGATGTGCGTAGCCTGCAACACAAGATACGCGAAGTTGGCACCCTATTAAACAACCTATCCTGATGTGCTCGTGCTCACTGAACTATGGTTGTCTTCCGAAGTCCTGGACAATGAGTTATACGTTCCGGGCTACGCACTACACGGTTTTCCCAAGGGTCACTCCGGCCTGTGGCCTAAAGGTAACAAGCTTGTCTTATACGCTGGCACGTGGGTTCGAGCCTGTGTAGGAGCAGGCGACCCTCGCAGTATCCTTAGCTCACGTGCAACCGGTGGTGGTTGCTCGGCAGCGAAGCATTAGTACTACCTACCGGCCTACTACTGATACCTTTCTTCCTTTTCTTTACTACTGTGATCTGACCGCCGCGGAGGTGGGGTTGCTCTGTATATCAGATGTGGTTTGAACATAGCAAAAAACACAGTTTAAACATAGCTGATAGAACTGTCGAAGCTCGTTTAGTTGAAGTCGTACTGCGTCTGCGCAATGTAAAATTGCGTTGCTGTATGGGAGCCCTGATAGCGCTTCCAGGAGTTCATTGACTTCATCCGTGCTCACTTGGCTCGTGGATGCTCTGTGATGGGGGACTTTTACTTCCCTGAAGTACATTGGCAAAACCTATCGTCTGAGGTATTAGCAGGAGGGTTGGCTGCTGTGCTTATCGACATGACGCTGGAAGTATCCGTCCATCACTATGTCGATCGACCCACTAGGTTCATGGAGGGTCATGCTTCTTCTCTATTGGATCTAGTATACACAGTCAGTTGATTTTGTGAGAAAGCTGGAGTACGGTGCCCGTTTGGGAGCCAGTGACCATGTATGTTTGTCCTTCAACTGTGCTTTTATTAGAGACTAGGACACAAGCGGCATCCGAAATCCGAACATTTGGTATGCTGACTTTCGGTCCATTAGAGCCAAGGCGATAAGTTCTCCATGCATCATCGTACCGTACGATGCTATACAGACGACTTAGGATACGTGTAAGTCATTCCTTTTTGATATATCACTCCCTCAAATCCCCTTTTCAGTGAGGAAGGTTGCAGAAGCAATGCCGTCATGGTTGGACTCAGTTGCACACCACCTACTGAACAGAGGGGCGAGATGCTAGCGGAACAACCAGTCAGCTCTCTTGGAGAGTATCACTCAGCGCTATCGTGAAGCGCGAAGTGCTTGCACAAGTAAACTAAGAACTGTTAGACTTTGCTACGATCTGGAGCTCGCTAACTCAGCCTCAACTGTTGTGGTTTTCGCTGATCGTAGGGATAACGCGCTGCTGTTGCGCAAGCTGAGCAACCGGCTTCCTAGATCAGAAGACAAAGGCTTCAGGCGAAAACTGTATTGCACACTGGGCAAGCAGTTTAAGCAGTCGGATACTGGGGTCGAAGTAATGGTTAATAAGGACATGACCTAGCGCTCACTGGCTGGCTTCAAGATAGACCATCCTCATCGGTAGTGTCCAAAGACAGACGTCATTCTTGGCCCGCTCACATTGGTTGGCCAATAAGCTTCGAGCTGCGTCAGGTCAACTGTCCCGGGCTGCTAGCGAAGGGGTGCCATCTTATCATCAACAATCCTCCAAGGATTCTTCGCCCATATTAAAAGGCGTAATAAAATTGATTCATCTGTCTCAGTGTTATTAGCAGTGACAGCCCCACTGCCAACAATGATTACGAAAGTGCCTCTTTACTCATTGCGCAATATGCTGAGACTTTTGTTAGGGAGGAGCATTTATCGTAAATTTACTTGGCGATGGGAATCCAAGTGCACTGCTGCTAAACTGACGTCTCAATTTCAGAGGCACATGTTCTACATCTTCAAGATCTAAATCCTACTAAGGCCGCTGCGAGAGGTGACATTCACCCAAAGCTTCTGTACGAACAGGCAAGCGAGATATGTGACCCAGTTACTTGTTTGTTTCAGTTATCGCTTCAGAGCTACCCCTTGCTTAAGGACTCGAAGGAGGCTATCGTCTGCCCCGGTGTTTAAAAAGGCCGACAGGCATCTCGCTGTCAAATATAGACCAGTTAGTTTGACAAGCGTACTGGCCAACTTATTGCAGAAGTTAGTTAGAGATGTGATTGAAAACCATCTGCGGCGTTTGGCCTGCTCAGTCCACCTCCACACGGTTTTCGCAAGGGTCACCCCTGCATGGTCAATTTGATAGTTGCACACGAATGTTGGGCGAATGCCGTGGATCGGGGTCATGCAGTGGACGTGTTATTTATTAACTTCTCCAAAACGTTCGACACTGTATCATATTCTCGTCTCTCCTTGAAAATTCGCTCCAGTGGCTTATCAGGACCTGTTCGTAGATGGATCTCCACATTTCTAGAAGGAAGAGAGATGTGTGTTCGAGTGCGGTCTAGTCTAACCTCCTGTCTGCCGGTCGTTGGTGGGATTCCACAGGGGTGCATGGTTGCTTTCTCTGTATTTAAATGAACTGCCAGAACTGCTGTGAGTACCGCCTCTCATGTTTGCAGACAACCGGAAGTTTTGATACACAGTGTCCGAATTCGCTGGACCCCAGTCTCTGCAACGGGCTCTTGACAAACTTTGGAATGGGCTGATCTGTAGCAGATGCTCATAAATTATGCCAAATTTCCCGTTTTACGACTAGGGCTAAATGGCCCCCAAACGCATTAACTACTCGGCGGGAATGAACTACTGTACGTTTCCCAATTGTTGAACCTAAAGCTCACGCTTTATTCAGAGTTTAACTCCAGTTATAACTGGAGGAAGGCTACGTGAAAAGTTTTCAGAATATTGGGAATGAGCAGCAGGGCATTCAGAACCATCCCGGAAGATAGGATTTGTTAGGTTATTCTCAGCCTACGTTAACACACAGTTGGAATATGGTATCCAGGCTTATCTATCTTGCTTAGTTAGGGGCAGGATGTCATTGGAGTGTTGAAGGTTGGAACCAAAATGGTTCGTGGGCTACGGAACTTTTCGTATCTAGAAAAGTACTTAAGTTGGGTATGTTTTCAATGCATCATCCTTGCCGTCAAGGCGACTTGATCTTGAACCATCGCATACTTGCTAGGAAAATAGAGCCTAATTTGTCTTGGCTTTCCCAACCAGCTCCGGTGCCATCTTTCCTAGGCCACTCTATGATGGAGTCTGAATGGACTTCATTTATCACGCAGGGTAGTAAGTTCATGTAATGCGCTGCCTGGGAACGTGGTTCTGCCACAAACAGGGAAAGAGTTTGAACTCCGACTTGAAGCATTTGGCCTTCATTTTCAAACTTCCCCCTCACATTCTAGCTTGTTCGCCATCTTGCGTTATTAAATCTCCATTTCTTTCGGTTCTTAGTGCTTTATTTACTTTGTTACTTTTGTTTCTTAGTTTACATGATCAATGCGGCGGGAACTACCAATGCTGGTCATGTGGGCATTAATTGGTTGACCGTTGTGTGATTCGCGAGTGCTGATATGACTCTCCTAGGTAGTAGTTTTCTGTTACAACTCGGCCCGTACTGAAGCAGAACATTTAGTAGGACGCAGTATTGGACCCGTAACGCACGAAAGTAGAACACGTCACTTTCGGCAACACACAGAATTTATTGTGTCGCCACAAAGACAGTCTAGTCAATGGTTAGCTGGCGTTAATGGACACACTCTGACTCCGTTGGATCCAACCAATAGGAACAGTTTACTCGATGACTGGCAGCTTGGGACTGACAC